CCCCAAAACCCCAAAACCCCAAAACCCCTAATTTTTGATAAAAATATTGGAAAATGGAGGCTTTTGAGAAGCAACTAACTGATATAGTTAAGAAGTCAGAGATTAATGACTTCAACATTCAAGGTAAGGATGGGATATCCACATGATTTAGAGGGAGCATCAATCATGGTCAAGCTGATAGAAGACATGTAAGCAATTTCTGACTAAAATTAGGCCTGCCATTGTGAAAGCAATGAACTCTGGCTTTGAGAAGAGTAAATTTATGCTTCGACCATAGACTTCAACAATTGAAAGAACCCTTATAATCTCCTATTTAATATCTACTTGGTCAGTGAATTCTTGAACAGATTTTATAAGCAAAAGGAAATGATTGTAGACTTCCAAAAAGAAGTAGATAGATCTTTGCTACAGTGGATCCAAGGGATCTGCTCAAAATGCAGTGAATACAGCCCGGTAAGTATATCAAACTTTTCAGATTAGAATGACATAATTTAGTTAAATATGAGAGTCCTAGAAGAACTCTACCAAGTCATCAAAGTTTGGATACAAACATTGGAAATGGGATTTCCTTATTTTGATGCAGTTATGCTACATAACTTTAGATCTCAAGTTTATGATAAGCTTTACTGCTTTAAGTTTACTTCAAAAATGTTGCAGGATGGGGCTGAGCCTCAGGTATATCCTCATCCTCGTGATATGAAAATTTGTGACCAGCAAGAACCATGGACGATGTTCCCTGTGCAAAGATACAATGATGACTGTATAAGTTTTGTAACCTTTAGACTATGATATCATGCTGCAAAATGAAGAATTATTTCACTTATCGGATACTTCTACTAAAATTGATTCTAAATCAGATAGCCTGAACACTAAGGTGAGAAATCTAGAGAGGACTGATCTTAGTCACCTCTCTCCACAAGAGCTCAAAGAAATGGCGTCTTCCTTATCTGAGATGGAAACTGAGAATGCTGAGCTTTTAGAAGACACCATGAAGACAGAGATAATCATGAGAAATCTTCTTGAAACATTTAAGGCTGATATGGAACTAGATGAGGATAGAGAGGAGTCAGTTATCACTTTTAAAAAAGAGCTGGATGACAAGGAACAATAATGTAGATTACTCTTTCAATTTCTCACTAAGCTATCGGGGTTTTGGGGTTTTGGGGTTTTGGGG